AAACAAGGTCAAACAACCTCTATACAACGAAAGGAGACTGCGACCGCACAAAAGACCACACCATCTTGGTCTTCATACCTTCAATATATGTTTAGTTTCAAACTACTAGTTTAACTTGGCATATTTCACTTTTTTATATAGCTTTTTAGCAATTATTTTTAGATTTTATATATATGAATCTGTTATTTACTTTGTTTACTTCTTTCTTAGGTGTTCAACACCCCCCTACAAAACTGCTTTCTTCAGAAGAAGTCTTCGACAAAGCGACCGGCAAACCACAAATCGACCTCATTAGAAATCATCTGATCTCCGAAGGCCGCCTAGCTGACCAGGCAACATTGCGTATTCTCAATGAGACGGCTACCATCCTTCGGTCGGAGAAGAATATGCTCGATCTTGAGGCACCCATCACTGGTACTTTAAGCTAGAATGAAGTCTAATTTCCTATTCTAATCAGTTCAACCCACACTTATTTCCTCTAGACTATTGCCGACTGTAAGATTAGTTATACATATATTCCAATAGAATATTTTGTGTAATCATGTTACTTATGTAGGCTTAGTATGAGTACTTTTTAAGCTTATGTAATTAAATTTGTTCTCAATATATTAAGGTTAAAATAATATTTTACTATACCTCTAGGTAACCTGTCAATAGATTTTGAGTCAGTTGTATAATCCTGTAAAAACTGGTTTGACAAACTACTTATGTCCTTTCTACTATTATTATTTCTTTATCTATCCTAGCCATAACTTGATAGGAGAATGATTGTATGGTTGTATGTCAGCTCAACCTGCCTCGTTATATCTTAGAGTATCGACTTTGTTATCTGAATTTGCTTGATTGTTAAAAATAAAGATCGCCTGATTCATTAGAGTATCATATTAGTTGGCCATATTTTGTGAACGAAATAAAATATTTTAGTGGTTAAAGATAATGATGATAAGAATAGAGGTGAAGAAAGTGGGACTCTCGCCTACACCTCAGTGTTAAAGAACACGTATCCTATAAGTACCGTTTTTTTTCATTTTCACTATATGGATTAAAATTTACTTTCCACTGTTTCTATTAAATTTGAATACTGCACTAAGAATCTTATAATGGAATCTTATTGTTGTAAATTATTCAATTGCCAACTTTGCTACTATGGCTAAATATAACTTAAGAATTCGAATACAATTTTTTTATGAAGTTGCAAAATAATGCTAATATTCGCGAATTCCTTCCTTAATCGCTTTTATCAGATATTGCCTAACTTGCTAGTCAGAATAGACTAACTTAAGTATATGTGAAATATATTTATCCTATTTAGTTTAGAGGACTACTAGTTAAGTCTTCCCACAATGCTATGAGTAGGCATGACGTTTTCATCGAGTTTTACATAGCATTTCTTTCCTAAAAGGTAATCTCATCAAGGGTTGACTAAAGTTTCGATCTCGCCCAGGTCTTATCAATAACCTCAGAGGGACTCGAACCATGACAATGCAGAGTATAAGTTTGATATCTTAGCCACTTCTCAACATTGCCACGAGTGCCTTTGGGTCACGGGGCAGATGTGAAGTTCAAGGAAGGCAAGGTATTTCCCCATATCCCACCACAGAATGCGGTATAGGAAATTCAATGGAAGCTATATGCCTACTCATATCATTGTGGGATGATTCAACTAGCAGTCCTCTAAAGGAAATAGGATAAGTACATCTAATATACATGATCTATGATAATCTCTTAAGCCTACTTATAAACGAAAACGTTAGTATATGCAACACAGGATGCTAATCCATGGAAAGCTTGGAAACGGATGACTTTGAAATTCTAACCCTTTTAGATAAACCTATCGATTCAAAGAAAAGAATTCATAAGAAAATGGGTTTCAGTTCTTTCTTTGTTCAACTTTGTGCAATTCACTACAGCACTTAACTCATTCGTCCTTGCTTCGTATCGATTTATTTTATAATTAAGTTTGATGAATTAATTTTATATCACCTTACGTAGTTGCCTGAGGCGGCTCTCATTGAAATGCCTTATAAAATAGCATAAATTAAATAAATGACACGTTATACAAAAGGGAAAATGGCACAACTTTTATTTATCAGTATATTTTTTATTTCATTTATAAATGAATTTTTCGATTATATAATAATTACCAAGCTATATTGTGTATTCCATTAATTCTCATTTTAATGTAATAATTTGTTTACTGGCAAAATTATCTATTTATTTCAATGCATGTGGATAACAAAGGTATTTTGTCTTATTTCTTCGAATTGCAGCATGATATACCACGAGAATATATGCCAAAATATTACTAATATTATTATAAATCGGATGAGTTACATAACTTAGCTTCTAAAGGAAAATAATTTCCATGCAATCTTATCTGCCTCAGAATTACATAATTTTTGAATAAAAATTCGTTTAAATTAAGCCGAGTAATATCGGTTTCAGTAAAATCATCCCTTACAAATTACGACTTTTTCTTCTAAATCAATTATCTTAACTACCCCTTCCGAAAAGTATCAATATCCTTCTGTCCACATTGGCGCAAAATAAAATCGTCCTGTATCGAATTACACGTTTATAACTTGTTACAAACTTATTCTCCGCTGGAAAGTAACAATAAGTTTAGCTGACAACAGATCTGTCTGCTTTTATACTGTCAAGATTAATCAATTCAGTGTTACGAGTTAAGAAATATTGTTACAATTAATACGCAAAAAGATTTTATTTAATTCATTATGGTTTACATTACGCATTAAATTTTGATATAAGTCTTATGTACAAATTCATATGACTGACGAATAGACCATCCGCTTCCAGATAATACCTTCAATTAATACTTTGTATTTGATACATTTTAAAAACCAATAGTTAGCCTTCGGCTAAATAATCATTAGATTTCTTTCAGTCGGGATATCGATGTCCTCTCTGATATAGTTTTTTTAATTTTCACCATATAAGGCTCTCCTTTCTGTCGATTTCCAGTCGATTTCGTGTCCCGTTCGTACAATAAGTTCCGCTGTTTCGGATCTTTCCGTATCCATGTTTCTGCAGTCTTTTGTGTTCCTTGATTCGTAGACTGATTTGCTAAGTATTCCGGTTGCCAAGGCTACTTTCCATTTTCTCCATGTACTTATTTCCTGTCCCTAACCATCATCATTGTTCTCTTATCCTCCTGAAGAACCATTTGTTCATTCTTTTGTAATTTTTTGCGTATCCTATTCAATCCGCCTCTTTGTATTGGCTTTGTATATGCCTAAATTCATAGGATTGTTTTCATTTCTATCTCCCTCTTTGTCGTTTATGGATATTTTTCGGTAGGTTCTCAACCTCCATAAGAATATCTTTTAGCATGTTTCTTTCGTTACCTAGGGGAAAATTTAACCCCTTCGTCAAAATGACTCGAAGAAGGCAGGACTAGTGAAAACCTTGCATACTGCCTCAGCAACCTCGGATGAGATCAGTGAAAAGCAAGATCAGCAAAAAGAAAGCGACTAAATCCGGGAAATATTTTAAACTTGGCAAAAATAAATCGCAAGGATATCACAGATTAACATTCAGAAACCAAGAAGAGACGTCTACAGTTAGCCTAACCAAATCGATTATAATTCTCGCATTTAGAGGTCGACACACTTGAGACTTGGAAATAAGAAAATTATATACTTGGCATTAGAAATAGAAGAGGGAGAGATGTGACAGAGACCCTTGATAGCTGGCTATTAGTCGATAAGTTTAAACATAGGCGTGGTCCATGAAGTAAGGGGTCGACCACGAGATTGACTCGCTGCACATGCCGCACAGTGGTAAGGGAATTAGCAGCGCCATGTTAAGTTGCCATGTTAATTGAGAATCCAGTCTTTAAGGACTTGTTCAGTGAAGCTGGCGCATAAGTCGTATCAAAGGCTTGCGGCAGGGTGTAGAACATAGCACCTCGAGTAGCACGGATATTGTAGAAGAGATGGAGTGAAATCACTGAACCAGGCAAATAAGAGGCAGGTCCTACGAAGCAAGAGGGAAACTCTGATAGGACCTCAGGGAAGAGGATTACGGGCTAAACGGCAGCCTTGGATCAACACTTCCAGCACAGTAGGAAGATGCGGGAGCTAGCAGGGAGCGTGAATAGGTCTTAACTAGGTTTAGACAAACAAATAAGAAATTGTGGTATTGAAGGGGTGATACGAGGTGAATACCTCATGACAGAAGAGATACCACAGTAGAGAGATACCAGTAGATAATTTGTTGAAGGATCGATTTAATTTGTCTTTTTGACGAGTTGTAGTGTGGTCTTAAGAATGGCAAGGCTGACTGACGATGCCTGCGATACGTCTGGGAATGTACCATGTCAAAGCTTTAACTCTGGAAATAACCATGCACAATATGGACCCTGGACAAGGTGCGTTTCTCTAGGTCTTCTTGCCAATTTGACCAAGTTGCGAAAGCAAGGTCACTCAACTTCTATACAACGAAAGGATACTGCGACCATACAAAAGGACACAACATCTTGGTCTTCATATCTTTACTTATTTTTTTTTATAAGTAGGCTTTAGAGACTACCACTATGTCACATATACGGAATTTATTCATCCAATTTCGTGTAGTATGATAAGGAGACATTTAGTTGAATTTTCCTCCTGCCATATGTCTTGAACCATGGCACTGCAGCATATGATCTCGATACACTAACCACTACGCTACATTGCATGAGTGCCCTTAGTCAAGTTCTGCTGGGATTGTTGAGAATACATAATCAATATCTCTTAAGAAAGATAAATATAATATTTTTCGTATTTAAGTAGAGTTTCGAGACTACCAGTAAATCAGTAATATGCGATGTATTCACCCTATTTCGTTTAAGCTGATGAAGGATTGGTAGTAGAATTATCCCAGAATGATATGAGTAGAGCTGATATGATATGGCAAAAGGCCTTGCTTTCCTTGAAATTCACATCTGCCCTGTGACCCAAGGGCACTCGTGGCAATATGGCCGACTAGTTAACGTGTCAAGCTCACATTCTGCACTGTGATGGTTCGACTCCCGCTAGGGGTCTTTCATCACATTAAACGAAATAGGGTGAATACATCTCATATTACTGATGTACTGGTAGTTTCGAAACTCTATTCAAACATACAGATTAATTTGCAATTATATAATTCATATAAACTCTCTGTAAGCTCATGTTACATTTCTTTCTCTTATTATGCCTGTATAGAATTTCATTATAGTTTTATCTCAATATTGTTCTTTTTGTAAAAGAATTAAAGAAATGAAGTATACTTAATATAAGGATAATCAAATGGAGGAACATCGAAAGTGAGATGTCCGCCATCCTTTAATTTCATTTAGCTTAGGTAATTGGGATATGTAACATAAATCTTTAGACAGACTATATACTTTTAGAACGGTTTTATATATATCTCCCAATCCATACTT